TCTCCTTACAGATCTGGATGTGGCTCTCAGCTACTGCTCCAGCATCTGCCTGCAAGATGCCATCCTTCTCATCATGATAATGGACTAAACCTCTGAATCTGTAAGCAAGCCTCCAATTAAATGCTTTCTTTCATAAGAGTTGCTTATAGTCACGGTCTCTCTTCACAGCAATAGAACAGTAGCTAAGACATCCTTCCAAGCAAAGTATGTGACCATGTGTACTGCCCAAAGTTCTGCCCACTCTGAAGACTTACTTCCCTTCACCAGTGTCGTTCAGGGTTATCTGAGAAATGGATTGTAATGCCACAGCTGTCCATTTCTGGGTGGTGCCTGCATAGTGTATGTAGAACAGGGTCTGGTCTTCACTTCCTCAGTCAACTGATCACAGAACATACCCCATGAAAATATAGGCACATGCTTTGGAGCAGAAAGTATTTTTTAACAGGAATAGAAACTAAAGGCGTTTGGACAACTTCTTTATGTAACTTGCTTGTGCCTTCAGGACCTGCTCAGGTCTGATCACAATTTCCATTTGTGATCCATGTCCAAATGATATACCATTTCCGTTTGATGATGTATTGCTACTGTTCATATACTACTTTAGAGCTTGGTGGGTCAGATAATACTCAGGTCATGGTGGGTAGCTCAGGTCACATGGTAACTTGGTGACTCATTGTCACACATTCAGTTACCACTATGGCCCAACAGCTGGTGAAGAGCTATCTCTCAAAGGGAGAATAGGTGACCTCCAACCATAAAATTAATCTTGTTGCTACTTCATAACTATAACTTTGCTACTGTTATGAACCATAATGTGTATATCTGATACGCAGATGGTCTTAGGCAATGCCTGTGAAGGGGTCACCACAACACGAGGAACTGTATTAAGGGGTCGCAGCATTAGGAAGGTTGAGAACCACTGGTCTAGAGAAACAGAATTGTATGGTTGAGTTTTTACAATGCCTGCAACAGATTTTCCAATTTGATAACACCTGCAGTTCCACAAGGCTCTCCTCAGAGCATGGAGAACACTAAAACTCCATGGTGTGAGCTGTTTAGAGAACACACCAAGGTGAATGCATTTGATTATACTGATTCACCTCTTGTGAGGTGCAAGGAATTTAGTGACTTGATACATACAACTTTTGACAATTTGTGGGAAAATAATGGTTGCTTGTAGCATCTTTGGTAAAATTGATAAAGAAAAAGAATGAACTCTGTGGTGGTTTGAAAGAATGTGGCCCCCAAAGGGAGTAGCACTGTTAGGAGGTGTGGCCTTGTTGGAGGAAGTGTGTCACTGTGGAGGTGGGCTTTGGGGTCTCATATATGCTCAAGACACACCCAGTAAGACAGACCACTTCCTGCTAGCCAAAAAGTAGG